TTTAAACAAAGGACTCCCAACACAAAGAGCAAATTTACACAGTAAAGTTTTCTTGCAAGCCCAGAGCAGAGTCTGGAAGAATTCCAGCTTTATAAAGAGAAAAGGGGGTGGGGGGAAGAAAGGGGGAAGGGAGAGAGGGGCATTTTGCAGAGGATAAAAGGAAATTGAGAAAAGTTCCCACCTCCTGAAGCTCAGCCCTGAATATTCTCCATCAGTTAACCCCGGAGCAGGAGGCTGTTTTGGAAGAACATAAGCCCTCATAGCATCAAACTTCTCAGCCTCCTTCGAGATGGAGGCTGAAATAAGTGTTTCAATATCCATTTAGGGTGACACTGCAACATCTCCTTTGTCTGTGGACTGCTAACAGAAACCCCTAAGAGGACACAGCAACCATTCACCAGGGCTCCTCCTCTGTTCCTTGTTTCACAGGTGTGACACAAGCACGATCTAAAAGGAAATAGCAAGGCTCAGAAATGGTGATGTGGTGACACGTGTCCAAGGCCAAGTGAGAACGCAAAGGAGTCACAGATCCCACCTCCCATATCCCACCCATATTCCACCACATGTTGTCCCAGGACCAGGGAGCTCCAAGGCACCCCTGGCACCTCCCACTGAGGCTTGGCAAAGGCCCAAACCCACTGCTACCTGCCAGAGCTGGAAATAGGCAGCCAGGGATCCCCTTCCATCACCTCAAACATCATCCCCATTCCACAGCTGGAACAAAGGGATGTTTGGTTGGAAGGTCCTCACTACTCTGTCCATGTTGGTTGTGCTCTGGCCATTAGAAAACAGGGCACAACCCTGCACTAATGAACCAACGATGATCTATATGATTTTCTTCAGGTCTTGTCACCTCCACTTCCTGCACTGTCATTAATGAGCTCTGGCAACACCTCAGAAAGGAAAGCTTAGAAGAGACATCACCCCCATCCTCTGCCCTCTAAGCACAGCCTTACAGAGCTCACCTGAGTAGACTTTTTAAACATTTTAAAGCAAAATATACGTAATGTTATTTGCCATAATGCTAAAACTGCTGGAGGGGGCTACAGACTCATACCACTTCAGGCATATGACCTAGGGACTTTTGGAAATAATCAATATTAAAAGAAACCCATTATAATTTTATTTTCTAACAACTTTCTCAGTCAAAAGGATGCCACTGACCCAAACTTTCATTCCTGTATTTACCTTGGTTTTTCTGGAGAGAGATGCCTTCTGCTGTACTCTCACAGAACCTGCAGCAATCTGCAAGCAGCTCACCCAAACAGCCGAGGAAAAGGGAATTTAAATGACTCTGGAGTCACACACAGGAGCCCCCAAACAGGAATGGTGGCTGGCTCTGCAGGGCCAGAGCTGCCCAACAGCCACACGGCTTCGTGGTGGCCATGGAAGGGCCAAGCAGATCTCAGCACATGGGATCCAGCTGCACTGCCAATGGATTCCTGACTGCTGAACATACAATACATATTTACAGAGTCTCCTCCGTGACGGGAATTTCAAAGCCTCATGCAGAAAGTAACTCAAAGGACGTAATTAAATCAGTTAAATGGCTCGGGCAAAGAGATGCAGCTACAGACAGATTTCAACTCTCGGCACAATCACAGGCCACAGGAAACGATTAGGAGAGCAAGAACTGTAAAAGCTCCAGGACCAACCACTTGCTTCTCTTTACTTAATAAACTATAATCCATGCTTAACACTAACACAGACCAGGTGAGCCTCTGAGCACAGTGCCCCGGGATGAAGGTGAGTGTTTGGGATAAGCAGGCACCGTGCCAGCATCAGCAGAGGTGACATTACCAGGTGACAAGTAAAGCCAGTGTCAAGAGCAGAAATCAAAGACCAGCCAGTTGATTTTCATCTGCTAATGTGATGTGCAGTGAACAGTGAGCTCCTGCTGCCTTTTTGGAAGCGGGAGCTTGGGGCGGAGCGTTGCTGGAGCAGGAGGGGCTGCTCCAGCTGCTGGCAGAAGCAAAGAAGCCTGTGCACAGTGGGAGATCTGGGAGCCAAGAAATGGCCTCGTGTGCTGGAGGAGCTGTGTGAATCCAACCATTAACAGAGCTCGTGGTCAGTTTTACTGAACAACTAGGACAAAGCAGGAGCAGTCTGTGCAGGGCTCAGGGCTTGGGGAGTTACCCTGGGGACTGCTCCCACTGCCCAGCAGCTCCAGGCATGGTCCAGCCCCTCTGGACGAGGTCCAGTGACAAGAGGAGAAAGAGAGAAGCTGCCACAGAGAGGGGGCACTCAGAGAGCAGGACAGCCCCGAGAATCCCACAGCAGCACCCGGGCAGAGCTCAGAGACATCTCCACCACCCAGCAGCACAAAGGGAACCAGCAACCTCAGTGTACAGACAGGGCCACCATCCTGCAGTGCCTCTGAGGATGGGCTGGGGGTGGTCACCAGTGGGAATGAGGAACACCAGAAGCTTTTGCTGCCCAACCAGTCTTCAGACTCCTGGGAGAACACCCTGGGCAAAGGGGAAGGTCTTATCTTCCATGGGCTTCCCTGCAGAGCAGGGACTGCACAGCTGCCATGAACACTGCCTTTCTTCCTCCCTCTGGATCAAAAAGAAGTAAAACTTAAAACCCACCAACCCTGCTGGGCACAGGGTCACCACTGACAGCAGAGAGGAATCAGCAAAGTGCACTCCAAACCTCCCAGGGAGCCACATGTGGATAAGGGTTTCCCCAGATCATGGGCAAATTTGTACCATCACAAGGCCCAGGGCTTACCTGAATATGAATGGCATCAGTTCACTTCTTCATGCCCTCGGGAATAAGGACTTAGTAAAAAATCAACAAACCTGGTATGAAATATAGAGTAGCCACCATTAACATCATATTTATTGTTATTTAGTTGCTCAGTAAAACATATACAGATATGTACAATATGCAGGAATACAGAAGACTGCACTTTACATATTTAAAAAAAGAAAGAAAAGTAACACTCAATTTCATGAGCTATCGTCACAGTCTTCCAACCAAGCATTTAGGAAATGAATTTAACAAGAAAAAAAAAATAAAAATAAAAAAAAAAAATTACAGGATTGCCTAACACACAGCAGAGTCAAGTTTTCATATTTTACATGTGCAATAACATTTTTCAGAAGAGTTTGCTAATGCAGTACGGATTACCAGTGTTTTGAGGTTTCTTTTTTTTTTTTTCCATGAACCAAATTTAGTACAAAGAAATAACATCCTTTTGCTTAAGGCTGTTTTAAAGCTGTAATATTCTTGGGTAGTGAATAGTGATAAAGTTGTAACTGCCGGAAATCAGAACCTGCAGTTTCATCAGTCAGAACCTATGAGCGGATGGACTCAAAGCAACAATTTTAATAGAGAATTTCTAAGACAAAATTAGACTATTTCCTCCATTAGCCTTAAGCATTAAAGAAGAAACAATTCTATAAAAATGGGTTATGCTCTTACACACCATCCCTTGAACAGCTGTGAATCCAGTAGCTGACAAAACCTTACACTGCAGCTTAACAAAAATAAATCAAATGTACCAGTTTGGATTCTATGGCCCACCCCCCCCAGTGCCCATCCCACTGCTGTGCTCACCTCACTCCTTCCACCTCCCAAAACTGGAACTTTTTGCCTTACTGGTGGTGCCTGGAAGTCCAGTCCCGATCCCAAGTTCCCAAGGGCCAGCCAGACCCAGAGTGACCATGGAGACCACAGGACAACTCCCCAGATGATCCAGGTGACAGAATCCTGTGCTCATCTCCTTCCACCCTCAGACACTGTGAAAACCTTAACTAAGTAACAAGCCCAAAGCCCCTTGCTGATGCTCTAACAGCAGAGAACAAGTAACCCCAAGAGAACGTGATCTGGAGAAAATTTGCAAGAATATTTATGTAATAAAATGAGGCCTATTCTGTCCTTTTTTGGCTAAGAGGTATTTGATCACTCCTCCCAACTGAAATGCAAGGGAAATTTTGCTCAGTTTGCTACGACATTGTAACTTGCAGACTAAGCACAGGGTTTCTTTTAGGAAACACAGAGGGAGCCAGGGCACAGGGCCAGGAGATGGGGGATGTCCTGGCTCCCCCGACCCAGCCCGAGGCTGCGTGGGAGCCTCCGGCGCCGGGCCGGCCAGGGAGAATCCCCACGGCAAAAGGCAAAGCCACATTTTAGCTGTTGCTCACAATCCAAAGCAGATTGTGCATCGTACCACCGGTCTTTGGCTTCTTGTATGACTGTCCCCCATCTGGAAGCCATGCAGGATACGCAGGCAGGTTTCTCCCAGGCATTTGGGGAACACGTATCTGATAAAATTCTCCCCCTGTTGACCCAACTCGGCCCCTGAAGGAAGTGAGCCTCAGGCACAGGGCTCTGCAGCAAGCAGAGGTCAGACCTCAGTGCAGCTCAGCCCTGCCACTGTTCCCCCAGTCTCCTATTGCTGTCTGTGCCTCAGTTTCCCTCTCCACTAGAGTGCAACTTACCTCTTATACAACTGGCTTTCACCTACAGCTCCCAAACATGTTTCAGTTGGAGTATTATTATTCAAAAAATGACATAACTTCCATTCTTACTGTGTCAGGCTATCTGACACTTCACATGTGTTAAAAAAACTCCCAGTGCACTCAGTGTAAATTTAATGGAGAAAATGGGTACAATGAAATTACTGCAGGTACCACCAGCTCTGTGACAAAGCTTGAACCTTCTGTATATGCTGTCAGTACCACATCCCCAGGTGATGAGCAGGACACGATGCCTGTCCTAGTCAGAATGTAGAGTTTCTGTTCTGATCTTTGGCAAAAAGCAACAAAACCCTAAAAGAGCAGGTTTGGTTGGTCCTGGCTAACAGCTGCCTCAAGCAGAGCTCGTTCAATCAAGATCAGCCAGGAGGTTCAGCAAGAGAACCGTGTGTGACCGTACGACTCAGTTAAAACTCCAGCCACTGAGCCCAGCACCCAGCCAGCCACTGCCTTAACTCCTCACTCCCTGGCAGTCCCAACCCTGCACTGCATCCACTGCCTGCAGCAGAGCCAGAAGCAAGTTCCAAGCAGATGAGAACAGTACTCCAGGAGAGGAGTGCAAGCTGCTGAGAATGAGCCAGCAGAACTGGGTGGTGAGACCAAGCCACCACAACTCCACTCAAACAGGGATTTCTCTTTAAAAGCATCTGAACTCCGTGTGTCCCCTGACAGGTTCCTTCCTGTGGCACAGGGTGTGCATCCCTGACCTCAGGAAGCCTGAAAAACCTGTTCTCTTCAGTGCAGCAGGAAAAACTAAAAACAAAGCACAAGGCAAGGGACTGCACTCTGAGCAGGAATGCCACCAGACCATGAACTTGGCCAAAATTTTCAGCTGTGATGGAACGCAGTACTGTACTGGTGTCACCCCAGGGTGCCCTGCTGCAGAGCAAGCCCCCCACAGCAGCACAAATGCTCTGGCATGCACAGAACACCCATGCTCTGCTGACAGGATTTAAAATCAAACATATACTTAGGTAAGCCAGGACTTGAGGAATCACAGGCAGAGGCACCTTCCAGAAAGGGGCTGACAGTGACTACTAGGAGATACTTTACTGGGGACAGTGACATTTTATTGTAGGTGCAGGAGGAGCTCTGCACTCCTGGTTGCACACCCTGACAGAGGTACAAACCATCCCAGCTTTTTGATCCAAACCAAGTGGGTGTGCGGCAGCTCCACAGCCAGTTGCTCCAGGATGGGCAAAAATCCTCATCCTCGTGGAAGCTCCAGCTTTAATACAAAGTAAAATAATATTGAAAACCAAGATTAAAAACTATCCAAATTTATCCAAAGTCAATTCATTGACCAGACCCATAAATCAATCCATGCATGGTTAATAAGAGCACATTCAAATCACATTTCCAAACACTGCGAGTCTCTCTGAAGCCACATATGACTGAGAGTGAGGATTCCAGACCACCCTTGGCTTTTTAGGCAGAATTTCCTCTCCGTTGGTGTCTACCGAGAATATTATGTCAAAGTAATTAAAGACCCAGCACAATCATCAAAGATAAAATATAAAGCAGTCTTCAACTCTGTCCCTTCAGCAGGGACACATTTGTGAAATCATGAATAAATAACCCTAGAGAGGCCAACCTTTATTTCACAACCAAAGCCAAACCCTCCAGTGCTTTTCCTGAGCTCCAGGAGCTGTGGGAGGTGAGCTGCAGGCGCAGGGCAGGACAGGGCCACTCCTGGGTGCAGGGACACACAAATAATAGACATTGTTACATAAAACCACTGGAAAATCAGCCCATCTTGTCAGTTGTGGGTTTATCTGGTTTGCTTCCAACTTTCATCTCAAATGAGCATTATCTAGCCCAAGCAGGAAAGTATGGCTTTCCTTTTATTGTGTGCATCCAGCAATGCTGTTCTTCAGTGCATGGCAGAAATGGGGCCTTGAACGAGTTTGGGGGATTCTGACACCAGGTTTTCCTGCCCTGGCAGATTGAGAAATGCTGCCCCTGGACACAGCCCCCTGCATCTGCACTGGGACCTGTTGTGGTAGGGGCTGGGGCACCCCTGGCAAGGGCAGGAGACACTGGACATGCTGCCAATCAACAGCATCTTTCTGCAGTTTAAAATGGGCAAAAAATGGGCAGGGTGCAGGGGATTTATTTTCTCCAGTATCAATAAAGTGGGAACTGCAGGAGCACCACCAGGCCCAGGCAAGCAACATGGATCCTGGCCCTTTGGAGGAGGAGATAATGACTATTAGACTTATTTAGAAAAACCTCTCCATACCTTCCCTGCTGAGCCTGAACCAGCCCATTCATGACAGAGCTACATCCCAGGGCTACGCCCAGGAACACAGAGGAAGGAGCATCCTGGCCTCACCAGGAGCAAAATGAGAGCTGAAACTTTTTAATAGCAGAGCCTCATTCTCTCAGGAAAGGGCAGGTCCATGCCTGAACATTCAACAGAGCATCAACTGCTTGGTTTGTATGAGACTGGCAAAGGCTGGGTGTCACTACGACATGATTTAATGCTGACCATTTTGCTTTCACTGGTGTTTATTCCTGAACTGCTGCTCCTCAGGATCACCATCCTAATAAGCACTGAACAAAGCAAAACAAAACAAAACAAAACAAAAAAAAAAAAGAAAAAAAAAAAAAGAAAAACAAAACAAAAGAGGAAGAAAAGGAGGAGGAGGAGGAAGAGGAGAATCTTTGTCTTATTATGACATACGTGACTTGGACACACACTGAGATGAAAAAGGAAAAGGCCTCATCTATAAATGTATGCCAAGGTTACAGAATAATGGGAAAAAGTGGTCTAGCAGGAAAATCTTAAGCAAAAGTGTGCTAACTGCAGAAGGGTTAACACTGGTAACATACTGTGGCAGAAGATTAAAAAAAAGTTGAGGTTTACTTTAAATTAACCCTTTCCAGTCCATATGCCACTAAGCAGGTACCAACCTAGAAAAATAGTCCACCTAGCAGTAGCGGCCCTTTGAAATTAAAAAAAAAAAAAAAAAAAAAAAAAAAAAAAAAAAAAAGAAAAGAAAAATAATTTCTTTTGTTCAAGTCAGGGCAGCCACAAAAGTCCCAAATCTGTTGGAGATGTCCGAGTGCAGGGACCTCCACGTCGGCACCGCAGTCCGGCCCTTCGCCTCGCCCACGTCGTCCGTGCAGTGGACCGAGAGGCACTGCAGGTGGGTGCCCGTCTGCGCCGCCGCCGCCGAGGTCTTGCTCGGGGGAAGGTCGTGGGCTGGAAAGGGTTCACAGAGAGAGGTTAGGAGACCCATGACATGTAACCCCATCAACTCACAGCCTGCCAGCGGCATTGCTACCCCCTCTCCCCACCTGCCGCGCCCCTCTCCTACATCTCCGGCTCGGAGGATACCGTGTCACCACCACCGAGTCACCACCACAGGTATGGATCCCCCTCCCCACCCCGAAGTGAGATCCCGTGGCTGGCTGTTCACCAGGCAAGAACACCACCTGAGAGAAAGCAGCAATATGTGTGAACACTGGGGATGGACCTGGGACTGATGAGTGTGTCCTAGACTGCAGCACAACAGGGAATTTTCCTTCCCTGCACAGCCTCTGCTGCTGGAAACAGATGCTGAAACACCTCCAAGCAGGAAGCCAGCCCCAAACCCTCCATGCCCTCATGGTCAGTCCCAACATCTGTCTCCCTCCTCCCCTCTTTTAATGGGGCACCATGATAATATTTTCCTTAAAATTTCTTTCATTTTGGAACTTTGTATAATCTTTAGCTATCATTAGTTTCTGTCAACCACAGAAATTTAAAAGCCTAACTGAAACATCCTAAACAATATCCCTAGGCCGTTTTCCTCTAGATTTTACATTTAATGCAAAGAGTAACTAAAATGTGTGGAATATGACAAAGATACCAAAAAGCAGCTGTGAATGTTTAACATCTCAGGACATTTCCTCCCATCACCTTTCTCCTCCTGTTCCACAAAGCCAAGCAGTGTGGGGGTACCACAGTTCATGGGGAAACTCACATTACTTTCACTGAACCTCCTGCTATACCAGATACAAATCCAGAACTGAACAGCTTGTTACACAATCACAGTGATACTACAAAAATAATGCTAAACTAGCACGGAAGTCCTTGGCTTAAGCTGGAAACTGCTTTTAATGCTTGATTATCACATGATGTCAGAGATACTCATAACTAAAACATTCTAACACCACCACACTACCAGGAACCTGGGGACATGATGCCATAAACACTGGGAGAAGGAACCAGGCTCCAGAGCAGCACTGCTGCCTGCTCAGCCCTGCTCTGTGCAAAATCCACAGAGAGCTCTGCTGCACACCTCAGCCAGGCCCCTCTTGCTTTTCTCCAGACACTCCTCCTGCTCCGGTCAAGGATCCAGCAGCAGCAGGGCAAAGGTGCTCACACCATCTACACTCAAATGGATTCCAGCTCCCTGCAGGTAGTGTTGGGTGTTTTTAGTCAGTTTTGATAAATAGGAAGCACTGAAGGGCTGTGCAGAAGCATAGAGCAGAGGCTGCTGCGTGATACCCGAAGTTCCGGCAGGCAATGAGGTGTTGGCACAGATTCCCTCTCAGTACATGGAGCTTCTACTCTTCTTTCCTGTCACTCCTGGGCCCTATAGCTTTGGGGAAACCACAGAAAAAAAAAACTCAGACTCCCTGAATAACCACTATCTGACCAGGTGTTCAATTTAACTTACTGTCCAGAATGCAAGTATACCTAAGACAGTTTTTTATTTGTAAAATATTAAAAACTCAGATGGGACTGTGCAGAAAATTGTGAACAGGAAATGTTTTCCCTTACTTGTATTTGTTCACAAGACACACAGTACCCACTGTTTTTATTCTTAGGTCTCCCTGACTGCACAGGACATGCTGGGCTCGGCACAGGAAGAGCCAGCGCCTCGAGATTAGTCCTTGTGACAGCAGCTCTCTTCCTCTCCTGCAGAGAAAGAGGAAAGAGTCCCACAGCTGAACTGCTGCCACAAGAGGCCCAGGGGTCCCAGCAGTGTTTCTACAAGGGCTGCAGGAGACCCCCACAGCCGAGGACTCCAACAGCCAAGGCAGAGGTGGCACATTCCCATGCTGGGATCAGAGCCAGAGCTTCGCTGCACCAGCTGTGCAGGCACCACGACACCTGGAACAGAGCTGGATCTCAGCAATGACTACATGAACTCATGTGCCACAAACACTTGAAGAATAAAAAATTAGGCTTATTTGCTTGTAAATCAGCAAATTATTTCTAAGCCATTTGCTGTTGATAAAATTCATAAGCAAAGTACTGATAAAGAAATCAAAGCAAAATCTGTCCCACGTGGATAAACAAGATTCCTTGGCTTGAGAGGAAAACCCAAGTAAAAGAGGCGAGCAGGAACTGAGCCTCAGTTTGCAAAGCCAATACTGACTGCCACTGTCCACAAGAGCCTTGCTCACCATGGGACACCACTGTGGGAGCTCCAGCTCTCCTGTCTGTCGTTAACGAGCACAGAAAATGACGTATTCAAATCCAAAACAAAGAGAGCTCACAGCAAAGCTTGCACTGGCACAAGAATTCTCAAAGCCAATCTGGATGGAAATTTTCAGTGCAATTTACTTTTTTCCAGTATTTCTGTCTTGACAAAGGTATGATGCTTTCCAGGAAAAAACCTTTGTAGAAAAAAAATTAAAGCTATGCTGATCCACCTGATGAGAATTATGTTCTTAAGCATGAGATATTGCCTGATGCTTGTCCAGTATAGTAACACCCTCCCAGCAGACCTGTTTCACCAGCCATCCATCCTCTCTGCCTCCTCCCTCACAGCCACAGTGTCCACGGTCCAGAGCAGTTCTGGTGGCTGAGATGGACGTGACTCGGCACATTAAAATTAGTCAGGTAATACAAGATGGTGTCACCACATCATTGCCTCGCAGCTGCCAAGTTCCAGATAAATTATTGTCAGTCATGAAGTACCTCACTGAAAGCATGGAATTTTCTAACAAATTATCTTTGAACTGCACAACTGCCTCTGTTTGCAACTACTGCAAAAAATTTGTGTTATGAAAAAAAGCAGTACACTTCTAATAAGAGCCATCCTCCACACCCAAGATCTTGGGACGGTCTGGGTGGAGACTTCCCCTCCAAACCAAAGGACATGACACAGAACTCGGGACTGACAAAAGCACAACCACCCTGCACAAAGGACAGTGTGTGTCACAGAAACAGCAAATGCTGAAGCAGAGGTAAGAAATCAAACATCACATATAAGTTCATGTCATGTTCACATGAAAGGCATGAAACTCAAAGCAGTAAAGTGACCAAAAACCAAAAGAAGTCTGGAAAATACTCCCCCATGATGATGTTTTTCCCCACCGCTGTTGGTGATGCTGTGGTAGTCTCAAGAGCCAGCTGGCTTTTAGGTAAGAGCTTCTGACCAAGCTTTATCCAGCCAAACACATTCCAGCCATTCAGTCCAGACAAACAGTGAGAAGAGAGCGCCCGGCCAGGCTCCCCAGCCTCCCTCCAGGCCCGACCCTCTGCTCTGACCTTGCACATTTAGGAAGCTGCTCTTTCGTTCTGCTCTACTTTGCAAAGGCACACAGCCTTCAAAAATAAAAGGTTGCTGTTTGTTTGTTTGTTTGTTTACACAGCATTAATGGCAGCATGGTGACTAACCCAGGAGCCTGGCCAGCAGCGTTGGAGCCTGCAGCTGGGACACAGGAAGAGAACCAGGAGTTCTGCAACACAAAAAAATTCAATATACACACTACAGACTGCTTTTCCATATCAGCTCAGGAAAAACACATTTCTCTAGTGAGGTTAGACCCTGGCATTCACCTTACTCTGCAGACACCATGTGTACCTTCAGTCTCTCCAGCTCCTCCCTTTCTCGGGAGACCCTGAGCAGTTAAGCTGCTCCATATGAAGCCTCTTTTGTCATGTACCATCCTCTTATGCATTATGAAAAAACAAAGGTGTTCTCTTTACTGTGACAACCCCACCGAGCACTGTGCAAACCCAGGGGTGTCCCAGTTTTTAAAAACGAGTTCACCTGCATGGCTACCACACATTGTGTGCATCTTCTCATCAGAGAGGAGGCTAATTGAGGGAGGGCTGGTGTAGCCAAGGCAACTGCAGATGCTACGCTGAGACACCGGGAGCTGATGCTGCTCTTCAGGTGCTGCTTATGCCATCCTTCTCATTTTTGCCAAAATCACCACCAACAAAAGGACGGAAAGCAGCGAGACACAGGAATGAGAGCACAGACACAGTCTGGTAGGGGTCTGGTTAGGAGTGGGTTCCACTCCACATTTCAGCATTCCTGGGAGACTGAAGTGACAAACAGGAGGTGAAGATCCCTAGAATGGCTCCTTGCCCCAGGGCTCATCCCTTACACTTCTTCACCGCTCTGACACAGCCTCAGCCGCCCGCGCTGCCCAGGGTCCGGCTGCCCGGCACAGCACGGCCCCGCCGCCGCCCTCGATGGCCAGCCAAGCGTGAAGGCCCTGGATTGCTACTGATCTTGTTAAGGCTGAATCTGAGGATTTGGCCAATAACACTATATTCCCTGATCAGAGATCTGTTTCCCCTCTACCATCTGATAACCACTCTTAAAGGACGCGTTAATGGGCTTCGGTTCACTCTGTGCCCGTTAAGCAGAGGCCAAGCTACCATAAGAGGGAATAGATTTGAGTAATGATCCCTTATGAGGCAGCAAACCTACATATAGTGTTTAAAATTATTCCCTTAGGACAAGATGTTTTTCACCAAATCTCCCACATGACAGTTTGACATATTGGTTCAGGCACATAGCTCTGCATTTGTACACAGCACAGAAGCATCTCTTTTCAGTTTTTGAGAAAAATAAGGTCTGAAAACATTTCATGTTTCCCTGGACACTGGACCTAGTCTCCATAGATTAATTTATTCCTGAAATTGTATTTTTAAACACTCCCAAAATTTTATTTTTAAACACAACTAGTTCATTTGTGTTGATAAACAAATGAGCAATCTCCTTCCTCACCTCTGCAGCACTGACAAAGTCCTTGGCAAAAGCATTTTCTTGACCCTGGAATACAAGAAGGCAATGGCTTGCATTTGTTCCTAGACACAAACATGGCACCTGCCACCTGCTTACACCATAAACCTGCATGGCTCTCAGGTGCCTTCACCCCTGACAACCTGTGCCTGCTTTGGGCTGGATGTGTCTGCTGTTCCCAACACTTGGAGGGCACACACTGCCTGTGGGCCCAGACTGGCAGCAGCCAGCTCTGCTAGCACTAGAGGAAAAGTCCCAGTTACCCATTACTAGAACATTCCTCTTAATTTTATTTTACTTCTTCATTTATTCTGTGTAATCCATGCCCGTAAAACACTTAAAGGTGCTGCTGTCCCCTGCTGCTCTCTGCTCTGTATGCACAGACTCGGTGTTGGTGGTTAAGGTGAACAGCTGATGCCAAGGACTCGTCACAACGAGCTCAGTGGAAATGGGGACAGGTGACTCTGCAGAGCCATCCCACCTCCGTGGTATTGGCCACATTTCACTTCATGACATTTCAAGAAGCCATTTGGCTTGGTCAGCCCCTCAATTTATTGTCAAGGCCCAGCCAGCTGAACGCTCTCTGAGAGCCTTTCTCAGAAAGGAGGGAATACTCTTCATCAAACATGCATGCACGGTGCTGAGCACCGTCCCACAGCACTCGTATATCGCGCAAACCAGGATTAAAGCTCCGACTTTGCTGCAATACTGACAAGACTCACCCCAAGGCATGGCACACCCAGGCTAACACACATTCTGTTCACCCTTAATGCTGCTTGCTGCCCACCCCTTCATCAGCCCATCAGCTCTGGCAGCATCCTCTGGTCCTCACAGGCCCTTCCTCCACAGACAGCTTGATTAATTGGAGGTGCCTGAGGCTCTAAAGGGAGCGTGTATCAGCCCATGCTGCAGAGATGTTTATTTTGTTTTCAGTGGTCTCCAAGCTGGCATGGGGCTCCATCAGAGCACGCTGCTTGCACAGAATTCAGATAACAGGAGACACATAGTGCTTGCTGCAAATACATATTTTTCTTTTTTCTCCCTTGACCTCTTTTCCTGCTCCTGTTTTCACCAGGAGCAATGGAAGGATGTGCACGCCACGACAGGGAGGCTGCCCAAACCCACGGCAGCGTTAAGAGTTTGCTGTCAAGCTGTAGGGTTACAGTCAGACTGTGAGCCACATGCTTGCAGAACGAAACAGAAGAAACTGGTGAAAAAAAACATGAAGTAGGAAAAATGCTAACCCTATCAATGGAAAAGGCGGCACTCATCTTACATGTAGCATGACCTTGAAGACACAGGATGAAGGATGTGTGGATGAGGACAATGACATTGCTGTTCAAAAATCCACATTCTCCCCACTGTGCCAGAAGGAGACAAGAGATGGGGAACACATTGCTCCCCACCTTGCTGACACTGCCCAGCAGGAGAGCAACATGCCACCATGGGTTCACAGGCAAGTGTGAAACTGCCTACACCTATTTATTTCTCTGGAGGCTACTGTTAAATCCCTGTTTTCCAGCTCTGTGACTCTCTAAGAAGAAAGGAAAGCTCTGTATCCCTGGAGAAGCCAGAAGGTCTGGGCCTTGGGACAGCACCAGCTCCTGTACCTTGTTCGATGGCCACAGGGACAACGGACTGTTTCTAACTCATATCCTTCCTCTCTTTTGGCTACCTTCAGTTCCTCTTTTCAGTTTAACACACTGACTCTCAGGCTGGCTTCCCTGCAAAACACAAACCGCAGAAAGGGGTCCTGCCTACCCCCCTGGTGAAGTGGCTGATGTTGGGGTTGGGTTCTCACAGAACAAAAGACCATTCTGGCAAACCAGGTCCCACCCAAGCTGCAGTGCTGCTGTCTGCCAGTCTGGTCTGCCTACCCCACACAGGTGAACCACTGCTTGTCTGTGACAGCCACGGAAAGCTGAGCTTCCAGACAGGGCCCAACCCAACCGCACGGCTCCAAAGCGCTGGCCAGCTCCTGGTGCCATCACCAACACTGTGCTCTCCTCAGCCCTGCATGGTGAGAGAACTGCCCCTGCCCAAACAAGGAAAACTGGCATTAAAAATCAAACCAAGCCAACTGTTACTTGCCAACAACAGGCAAACAGTGTCTGGAAACTTCCAAGAGAAAATAAATGTTAAGTCCAGCAACTGCAGCCCATTCCAGCACTGCCGACTCAACACAAACATCCATATGCTGCCATCCAACACCAGTGAAGCCTCGGGGAGCTCCAAGTTATTCTCCAGGGTCTGTTGTTCTTCCTCCTCAAATAACCTGAGCACTTCTGCTCATCCCTGAAAGGAGCGAACTGCCTAAGCCCAACCCACCAGCTCCATCACACTGACACTCAGACCATTGGGAAGAGGCTACATCCAGCCTCTCCCACATAACCCCTCCTTCCAAAGGGCTGTGGGCTGTCTCAGACATGTCCCTGCCTCTGAATCCAGCCCCCAGCGTGAAAAGACCACCTCCATGGCAGGAAAGAATATTGGCTGACTGATCCTGTGTTTTCCGTGCTGCTGGCATACATCACCTGCTTGCACTAGCTAAATGCTCTGAGCCTATTTTCACCAAGAATGACAAATGACACATCCATGATGAGTAAAGAAATGCTGGGTTTTGCTTTCAAATTTATTTCATATGTACGCAAACTATCACATGACAGTTTTACACACAGCTCCTGCCTATGCAAAACCCATCTCTTGACTGCCAGAACGCACAAGCAAACAAAAGGTTTTCAATAAAATCCAAAGTGGAATTTTCTGATTGCACAAAAGTTACATGAAATTGTTCAGTAAGCCCTCACTTAAATAAAACCAGTTCTGGATACTGTCTAGTAGTATTTCAGGACAGGCCAAAACTGAAAAAAAATGCTACTAAATGGTTGTGTATTAAGTCACCACCTGGACATTTCACATGGAGCAGACCTCCAAAAATAAGATAAAATGCCCACTTCCACTAGCAAGGGAAGGGGTGTACCAATGGATTTGTAAAGGCAGTGAATAGTTCATGATTATGCACAGAGCAAACAGAAAGGGAAACACATAAATTCCAGTGTTCCATCAGATCTGTGCAAGAGTTTTGACAAAATTGTGGGGGAAAAATAAGATATTACAGTTACAAGTAGGATATTTAAGCCCTGCAGATCATACATGGAAAACTATTTTCTTTAAGTGAAAACAGAATTAAAGATGAAGATTCCCTTCAAAGAACTTTTTTTGTAGTCATTTAGTTTCAGGATGCAAATTAAATGAGCACTTGTTAGCCAAGCAAAAAAAGGGAATTAGCTCTTTTCATCAGTCATATCATCAGTCTCTTGTAAGGCTCAGATACACTTGGCCGAAGACCTTTAGGTGTTTTGTTGCCTTGTTCCCCAGGAGCTCCCCAAGGAGCTGTGTTCTCACATCCCAAAGCAAGATCTGCATCCAGCCTGGCTGCCAGGGCTGGGACAGGGATCTGCTTGCTCCCTCTGTCTCCTCCCTGGCTCTGCCCACAGCTCCCAGAGGTGCCTCTGCCCCATCTATAACTCACAATTACGAGAGACCGTAACACGAAACTGCCACAGGCAAAGTCAATCTCTCCCAGGGGCCTCACACATCTGAGGCTCCTGCACACCAAGAAACGGTGATCATGTGCAGTAATGCTTGGGGTTAAACCACACAAGTTCAAGGATATTCCTGAAAACACAGTGGGAGTTTACCAAAGGCTAACATTTAGTGAGAAGAACCAGCATCAAGGCTCATTAGCTCTTTTATGCCATTTATTTATAGCCTACCTTGAAACACATCCCATTTCTCTTTAGGACACCTCCAGCTGAAGTTTGGTATCTCAGGGGTCAATGAGGAGACTTTGGGAAACAGTGTGCATGAAAACAAAAGGTGTTCAAGCAACTTTGCTACTCACAGATCAACAGAAAAGGGACACCAGAGACCCCAGGGTCCAAGCTGGCACATGCAGAGACACAGTTCATAGATGGACAGAGCAGGCTGAACAGGGCACCTGGTCAAATGGAAGGTGTCCCTGCCCATAGCAGGGGTGTGGAACAAGGTGAGTTTTAAGGTCTGGGAAGCTATGGGGCACTCCTTAACCTGCTCTGTGCTCAGCAGCACCGACTGCTTGACACTTGACACTCAGGGGGTTCCAAATCACTGATTAAAAGTCCCTTGCAAGTAATTCACAGGCAAATTCTGACAAATCTGCAAGAAATAACTATAAAGAGCAGAATTATCAGGAGGCCTGAGCTTCTTAAAGAAAGGTGAAAATCTCTTTCTGATAAACATTTAAGTGCTGGTAAAACAGACTGAGAGCTGACACTATCAACCCAGCACTTCCTGGGCGAATTCTTGCTAGATCTCTTCTGCTGTAGAAAAATCCCAAATTCTGGTACACCCCAAATTTTGACTACAAAAAGAGATAGAAATGTTGTCATATAATGTATTTGGCATATTCAGAAACATCCCCTAAAGCAGCAATAAGATGTGGTGATTGAGCTAGGGCCCAGAAGTCTGATGGAAGAACAGGGTTTGATTGAACAGCATGTTTAAAAATTAAATCTATCTGAAGGAAAAGAAAAAAAATCATCAGAAGAAATGCATGACCATATGAGGAGCAATGGCAGTGAGAGAAATTCAGCACTGAAGAAACCACACAAAGAAACCTGGCATTCTTAGGTACAGCTATAAGTGCCACTATTAGGATAAGAAAAATATAAGCTCATCTTTTACTTCCAATTGTCACATCACTGTGGAGAGTCTTCATGAAATTCTCAGAATAGCAACGAATCAGGAGCAAACAGCTGTTCAAGCAGGAAAGTCACAGGTAGACAGACTTTCCTTGCTTCAACAAAAAATTAACTCTAAAGTTTCACAGGCCAGTAAATCAATAAAATGGGCCTGTACAGCACAGGACAAACAGTCTCATCTTCCAGCCCAAAGCTGATATATAGGGCTGTGTTCTCCTTCCGGCCATATGCTCACGTGATTTATGACCCACAACAATTTCAATACTCCTGGAAAATGGAAGAACAACAGACAATTAGTTCATCCCACTACACTGGGGATTGTGTGGGCTCTGCCCTGAAGCACATCCCCAGGGAGTAGGGGCCAGAAGCCCCAGCTGCCCCTGTCAGGGGCATGGGAGGGATATGGGGCTGAGCAGCACCCAAGCACTGGCACAAGGTGCACAGCACATCCCCCAAGACTTCTCTGCATGGAGCAGCCCACAGGAACTCCAAGAGAGATGCAGAGGGACTTCTAACCAGGGCCTGGAATGACAAGGCAGAATGTACTCCCTCTGAGAGAGGGCAGGATTAGATTGGATATTGGGATGAAATTATTTACTCAGAGTACTGAAGCACTGGAGCAGGTTGCCCAGAGTTGTGCCTGCCCTATCCCTGCAAGTGTTCAAGGCCAGGCTGGATGGAACTTGGAGCAACCTATTGAAAGGTGTCCCTGCCCACAGCTGGAATGAAATGACCCTTCCAAACCAATTTTCTGATTCTCTTCTGTGATTCATTCCTATCCCATTTGTAACTATGGCTGTTTGTGACAACTGCTGTTAACGTGGTCTAGATCTGGTCAGTGCAGGACAGACCATCCCACTAGCAGGGAATAAGGACCTTGTAAACTCCACCTGCAGCTGTCCCAGGCAGGGCACTGCCTGCAATGCAAACACTGTCAAACCAGGCAGGATTCAGCCCTGCAGCACCTGCTTCACTGCCACAACACAAATGCAAAGGCATCACCAAACAAACAAACAAAATCCTCCACCCCACCCTGAATTAGGCTTTTCCCTCGCGCAGGTGGGGTGAAGTGCAAGCTCAACAGCTTGAATCACACAGCCATAACTTCACCCAACCCCAGCCATTATGGCATCATCAGCTGGGGCTGATGCACTTGTGCACCACCACAGAGCACACTGCTGAGAGCCTGTGAGACACCAAGTCTACTGGCATAACATCAGAACTGGTTTTTCTGAAGCCATGGGGATCCAGACTGGTCTTCAGCTAACTTCTGAGTGACAAACCCAAGCCACATGTCTACTCAAAGGCACATCTCTGAACAGCAGCATCATGCCCTCCATGGATGAACATTTTGTACACTGGGAAAAATGCCAAATAACTCAGGTATCCATACTGCAATGAATTCTGCTATCTGCCACCCTCCTCAGGTCTGGATCCACACAGCTTCATCCCCCAGCAACAGCGCTGCCAAGGCAGATGGGCCAGCAAGGTTTCAACAAGAGGGTGAGCAAAATGGCAGCAGGACCATAAGGATAGAGGGGTAGAGTCTGAGCTCAGTGTCTTAAGGTACCCTTGCCTCCCTTCCTGCAGGTCTTAAGCAGAAGGCAGCCATGCTGAAGGAGTTAATCTTGCCTGGAACAACCTATCTCCGGTTTCTCAGAAACTCCAAGGCTGCAGAGCTGGGCTTTCTGCTCCCTGCCTGCTCTTTGCCTGCCCTGCCTGCAGCCTGACCCCTGACATTTCCACTCTGCTTCTCCCTGGCATGGAAAACTTAACCATACACAAACAAACAGGTTGGGAGGACAGATAAATGGAACAGAGGAGGAGAAAGGGAAGATTGCTCAGATTCCTTGTCAAGGCCCTGATTAAATAACAGCAACACCACCAGACGTGGGTGAGGGGCTGGCATTTATCAGTAAACCCTGAAGTCTACAGCGAGACATCTCTGTTTAATTAATCCTGAAAGGGTCCCTTCCCCCTTCTACTTCCCAGGGAGGTTTTGAGGATCTGCAAGTTTAAAGACACAGTGAATCCTTTTTAGCCCTTTCCTTACAAAACGCAAGGGCAAACCCACAGTCAGGATTTACTAATTCTGTGGCAAAGGTTTCCATTGCATGGACACACACAGGCAACCCCCACTGAGGGGGCATCTTGGATTTAGTGGTATCAAACCCTCCAAGGCAATACCCCCAGCCTGCACACACGTAATCACAACCAGGCATGGATCTGCAGATCTCACCCGGACTCTTCTGCCATTTTTACACAACACCCATTTCCCAAGGGATAAATCTCTTCAGTGCCTGATGCAGTTCTACTGTCACCCATTTTAGTACAGTTTTCCCATGGTTCCATCAACATCACCCAGCAATGGAAGAGACTGCACATACACATAAAGCAAGACAACTGCAAATGCTCTTGCCTCTGGGCTTTCCCTTAGCTTGAGGAGGCTCGGGAGGCCTTTCTAAAGTACCTTCCATTTCAGGAGGTCCCCTGCCCTTTGATCCAAGGTGAATACTGTACTAGTGCAGCACACCACAGTTCAAGCCATGATCCACGAAGGGCCACAAAGCTGGCACGTCCCTCCACACCACAGCAGCAGTGCGAGAGGACCTCTGCTTCCAGGGTGCCTTCATCCCACCACAGTGCTCAGACAGCTGTAAGGTCTCTGAGGATTGTAACAGCAATGGAAACTCTGGACCCCAGAGAGTGGACAGACCACCAAATCCCAAAACAGCTTCCAACAGAAGAGGCCTCAGCGAGCATTTCCCAAGGCTCAACATCAGTCCTCAACAGGGAGCAGGGCAGGGAGGACGTGGCAGCAGTGCTCAGGGCCCCAGGTCAGCCACAGTAACCACCATTCACCCAACCATCCATCCAAGCAACCATCCAACCGATGGCAGAATTACAGAGATCAATTCCTTTTGTGCGGTGTAACTTGCAAAAAGAGAAAATTAAAAAGTAGCAGAAAACCTCTGTAATAATGACTTCTGGTCCAATTGGAAGCAAAGGAAGGGGTGGGGGGAAAGAGAAAATTTAAAAGTCTAAGTTCAAATTGTAAAATAAATCTGTAATTCACATCAGCTTTATAAAATTCCCAGGAAAATACAAAGTCAAAACCAGTTATTTTCTTGAGGATCTATATTCTTAAATACCTGGTTTCAACGTTATCTCTTTTTAAAGAAGTACTGGGATGGGGGATGAACTGTGAGGAACTGAAAAATGTCTCTGCCTACCCAAAAAAAAATCATTATGCAATGACAAGAGACAATCCAGTCTATAATCAAAGACAGAATCCTGACATGTTCAAAGAGAAAATAATTGTAACAACAGTGACTTTGAAGATGAGAAGGGTTTTTTTGACTGAAGCCATGGCCATCAAGATTTTTACTGTAGCAGGCAATATCTAAATGCATCACTCAGCATGCTGAGTGCCTGCAGGTACACTGAGCACCAGTAGCAAAAAAATCATGAAGAAATTAAACAGTGACACCTAAGAAATCCCTGCCTAAAGTGGAACCAGGCAATGCTCTCTGAGTGTGAACCACTCACACCAGGGAGCACACACTCCTACTGATGAGCATGCTTGTGTCAGGGAGTGAAGTTTTACAGGAAAACTCAAGAGCCAGTGTCCCATTAATATAAAACTTGAAAGTAACAAGGCACTACACAAAAATACTTAAATTTTTGACGTTTGCTTCTAGGGAATTGCATATTTGGCTGTAAAAGTCATGAACTGCACTCTTCACTGAACTAGTGTGATTCACAGAAAATGAATCACAAAAGGCAAGTTTGGTGACTAAAAGAACAGCTGTTCTGTAACGCACCTAACGAGCAGTATTGGATTTGCTGCTGTTTGATTGGGAGACTATCAGAAGATGACTATAAATATCCCCTTCAGAAACAGAATCTGGATTAAGCTCAGTGTTAGCTGGGTGTAAGAGTCAGACAGACTGCCTCACACCTCTCCTGTATTTCACCTTTTAGGGGAAAGCCCAAGCACAGTCCCCCTCAAAGGTAATTTATCACAAAAATGACGCAAAAGCTGTGCAGCATCACTACCATCAAAATTTGTATTTTTAACATGGAGACTTTGAATTGTATCAATCCTGTCTGTGTCTCCATCACCATGAGCATTGCTTATATGTGGGAACCATTTTATTTAAACTACGAAACCACCAAACAATTTATTTAATAAAAGCATTTCCTCCACAGTAACTCAGCAGTGAAAAGCTGTTTAAAGCATAGTCTGTCAAGCCCTACTTCTTCCACACACTTCTGTTCTCACCATTACATTAAAAACCTTTCACCAAAAATGAAACCATTAGAAAGCATGAATATATGTTTTGGTTTTCTCTTAGCTGGAACTGGCAAGTCTTCCTGGGGGCATCTCCACTTCAGTTTCACAGCTACCACAGAGGATTCTTTCTTTCATTAGACATCCATGTATCTTCTGCAGAAAAGGAACATATTGAAACTGATGGCTGTGTGGTTTTGCTGATGTTGTTCCAGGCCACACCAAACTTGGGCTCACCACCTGTGCCCCAGGTGTGCATCAATGAACCAACACAGGCCAAGGCCACAGTGGGCTTGGCCTTTCTCCCTTTTGGGGTATTTCTGGCAGAAATGCCCTGCTAAGTGCCATGTTCATGTCCCCACTGCGTGGTGGCCGCTGGCCAAGTAGTGGAGCCATGAAAGCACAGCTGGCGCGCACAGTGACAGCCCAAATCCAGCTGTGACAGCAGAGCAAGGAGCACAGCCGGGGATGGGACAGAGTCAGACTGGGATATGCACCTCAGAACCCAACATCTGTTTTCCATGGAGTGCCCAGACAGCCCATGGCAGTCAATCCCATGATATTTTAAAGCAAGGAGCACTGAAGATAAAGACAGATCAATTTTGCTCTACAATTTTAAATGAAACTCTCCTGTTTTGGAAAGAATTTCATTAAGGTGAAAATATAATACAGAAGTACCCATTTAGGAAGAATGTGCTATTAATTCTTAGCAGTGTATGTGGAAGGGAAAATTGCATTTTTATCTAAATGGTTTTTTCTGCATAACCCATTTTCAGTATTCTTTTACAGCTCAGTAGTGGGAACTTTACACATTTCTATTCGGGCCAGACCACTGTGGAAGGCAGCCTTCAGGAACGTGTCAAATATAACCCCTTAAAACGTATTCCAAGAGAAGCTCCACAAACTGGAGCTCTTAAAATCCTTTAAACACCTTAAAGGATGGTTGGAAAAGGAAAGGAAAAAACCCTCTCTCTTAAAGATGTAAGCCAAATTTTTGAGGGGGAGAGAAAAAAGGATGTGGTTTAGGGTGGTTTTTTTTCCCTAAGGGCCAAGAAGTGTTTTGGTCTTCCCTCTCTTCTTCCTTACTTGAAGCACAAACACCTCCTCTTTGATGCAGTTTCCAGTCCCAAATGCACACAAAGAACAGAATGGGGCCATGTTATCACTCTGAAAAAATGGACATTCTGAGCTATACCATGTATTAGTACGCACAACCAAAACAAGCGTATGCTATGAAAAACTCATTTTATCAGCATAAACAAATGCTCATTTCTCACTTCAGTTTCATACCATTTGAAACTGAATATAATCCAAACAATAATTCCAAACAACTGATGCTGGGATCCAAGTTTCCCTGACATACTGCCATCACACAGCAAGAACAACATCAAGTAAAAGCAAAAGCAGATTCAGAACTGACTGCTTCAAGTTTTACCCCATTTGCCTAATCCAGTACAAAGAAAAGCAAACATAAAATTCAAAGTTTTTAAAATTCTTCATTTCATCAAGGATCTCAGATTCAAGCGAACCCAAACTGCAACAGCACAGTGACCCTGTGTTTAACAAACAAAGCCACTGACTTTCCAAGCACCGCAGCAGGGCTCACTGAAGAAGCTGAAGCTCTGTGTTTTCTAAGCATTGTTCATTTGACATTCTTCACCTCTTTTATTTTTTTTTTTACCCTGCGTTGGCTTTTATTAGCTTACTTCAGAAAATTAGTATAACAAAAAATTTTATCTTTCAAAACAGACATTTAAAAGTGCAGCAGTTATGGAAATACAATTGGACAATGAACAGTTTTTATTCCCTCTACCTCGCCACACTCCGCACGGCAAAGCAGTAATTACAGGAATCTACTTCTGGTTTAAGCTCTACAGTAAGCTCTTTCCAAATTTAAGGCCAGCAACCAACCCTTCATTATGCTTAATAGGTAGACATAAAACGTAATTGTATCACAATCTCCCAACGCACGTTCCAAGCTCCAAGGCTCACACGTGTCTGGCTCAAAGAAGAGATTTTTTTATCTGTTCTTTTCCGTTAGAGAAACACCGCAGCACCACTGGCATCAGCCACTCCAGGAAACTACACAAAACACTAGAGGATCTGGATAATTACTTGAAGGAAGACTTCACAGTGTTGTTAGAACCTGACATTTCCAAAGTGGTGTTTGTCAGACGGCAGTAGCTGGACTCCTGTGCCCCTGCACCGGTCAGGACCGTGGTCACCTGCCCCAGGGGCCCAGAGCACTGGGAGCAGCAAATTCCCTTCTGCCTTTCCCATTCACACCTCTGCTAAAATAAGTAACATCAGGACATAGAGCATGAACTGGATTTATCTACAAGACACACCACTTTGTCTGTATGTCTTGTAACATACAACATGACTATGATGCACAGAGTTTAAAAGCAAAGCTCACCCAAATTACCAGGGCTGCCCTTGAGCTTTCCCCAACACTGCCCCATTCCCCTGCACATTTTCCAGCCATCACCCTCACATCCACCCTGCCAACAGCACAAAGAATTGGCAAATGGTGGGATGAAACGTCCATAATAATAAAGAAAATAATAATAATAAAGAAAATAATAATAATAATAATAATAATAATAATAATAATAATAATAATAATAATAATAATCCA